CCTACCCCTTATATAAAAACCATGAAATATCCAGATGTATTAGACCATCTTCTCAAGGCTATAAAGAACTTCCCTGAGACTGGGTAATTTATAAGGAGGTTTAATTGACTTACAGTTCTGCATGGCTGGGGAGGCCTCAAAAAACTTACAATCATGGTGGAAGGGGAAGCAGGCACCTTCTTCACAAGTCCGCAGGACAGAGAAAAAGAGCGTATGAAGGGGGAAGAGCCCCACACTTATCAAACAACCAGATCTCATGAGAATTCACTCACTGTCATCAGAACAGCATGGGGGAACCATCCTCATGATCCAGTCACCTCCCACTAGGTCCCTCCCTTGACACATGGGAATTACAATTTGAGATGATATTTGGATGGGGATACAGAGCCAACCCATATCATCAGAGAACAATGGGGCAGAGTCTAGTTGCACTTAATGGGCCTTAACATCAACCATGAACTCACCGATTTGTCTGCATTACTTCAAAGCCACCTGCCTGACAGCCAGCCAGCCAGATTGGACCTGGCCATTTAGTTAAACCTACAGTCTCATTCTTCCAAATAGCTGATATTTCCCTTGGGATGGTTTGCACTATGCAGGCTAAGCTTATGAGCTCCTATTTCTATAATGCCAATTTGCCTAGATGGTTGAGTGTAGCCGACAAAAATCTGTCTTGAATCACACAGTGATTCAAGATGATTTAGATAGGCAGATATGCTGTATGACTGTATAGAAACCATTTTCTTCTGGAAACAGGTGATAGAGGGAAGTGTTCTTGCTAAGGAACTATAAATGAGATTCTACCCTGGATTTGTAGTGACCAGTGACCTTTTCTGACTTATAGCTCATGATCAATGATGTCTTAAATTTGAGCATTTAACCTTGAAATTAATTTCTTCAAATTCATGGGATTATAGTATATGGGACTTAGAATCATTCCAGTTCAGCACCCTAGTTTTAACCCCGAGGAAGTAAAAATGCCAGGACTTTGTCCGTGACTAAAATACAAGTGCATGTGCATGCTTGCACACATTTTATTTTCTGACTCCTGATAGAGTGTTTTTCCCATGATGCTAAGATGCTTCCAGTCTGATGTCTGAATCTAAAAAAGTCAAACTCTTTGTCATCCATTGTGTATTAGTCAGGATAGGATGGGATATGCTGTGGTAACAAAGACCCTCGAATCTCAGTGGCTAAACCATAAAGGTTTACCTTTTTAATCACCTCCAAGATGAGCAGCAAGGAGCTCTGATCCTGGGTTACTCTGGAACCTAGGCTACTGGAAGCACTGCCACCTTTATGTGTCACTTCAGTGTTTGCCACAGCTTTGGGATCTCACACTCTCTAGGTGTCAACCTAAAGTGACGCTCATCACTTCTGCTCTCATCCCAGTGGAAAGAACTCACGTGGGCCCTGGTTGCAAGTGATCTAGGAATCATGGCCCTCTGTGTACAAGGGAGGCGAGATGAACCTGATGATGGTTAGCAGCACCACCATATTTAATAAGCATCTTGAGGACACCCCCTCTGTGCTATATACTGTACTGGTGGCTGAGACTACCCACAGAAGTCCCTACACTGGAAGACGGAAGGGGTTAGACTTTGTGATGTGACAGACTCTATCAACGAAGACCCTATGGTTAAGGAAACAGTTACCTATGGGTCAAGGGTTCAGGGCCTGGATGGCATGGCATGGCAAATTTCTAAATTCCTACGACTGTAAGAAAAACCCTACTCTTCCTTAACCCCCTACCAAAAAGAGTTATCAGATTGATTTACAACCCAGACCACTGCAACTCTGATTGGACAGGGGACTGGTCTTACAAACACTCTTTTCTGATAAGCTATTACAGACTTCAAGTTTTGGCCAGTGGATAGAGACTGCACACAAGCTGTCTTTGTGGCCTGTAGTTCACCTTTTGACATACTGAGCCAAATTCTACCTCATTTTAGAGCTAAAACTCCACCCCAAATTGAACATGGCAGAATAGGTTACATATATGTTTACCCATTGTGCATGCATTCACTCCCCTCATAAATATGTATTATTTCCCACCAAACTTGCTGAATATGTATGACTCCGGCCCTGTGAGACTTAAAACCTGCCCTTTCCCTCTTCAGTCCAAGGTGGAGGCTTTCTCTTCCCAGCTTGCAAACCGGTATCTCCAGCAAAGCTCTCCTTTCTACTATTTAGCCATCCTGGTTGTCTTTTGGATGGCAACTTGCAGATAGATAAGCTACAATATGACAAGTGCCATAATGAAAGTGTGACGAGAGTACAGCCAACTTCAAATATGGGAACAAACATGATTGGGAAAATTGAGAAAGACTAACAAAGTAGGTGATATTTGAGCTGGGTCTTGAATACAGAATAGAATAATCTCCTTATGAACACATCGTAGTCTCATTTGAAATAATTCCTTTGCTTTTGTGAATGTTCTACTGAGGTTTGTTTTAGTTCTGTGAACTTCTTGCCAAAGGTCCAACATTCTCTTGAATAGCCTTGAAATAGACTTGAACTTCTAAAGAATCAAATAAGTAATACATAAGCACAGTTGTGTTATCAGTATGAGCTGGAATTGTGTGACCCAGAAAGAAACTGGCAAGAGCCCAGGAGTACAGTGGAAAGTGTACTGAGGTGGCCATATTATATTTTCAAACTAAAATCAGAAAGCAAGAACTTAGAGGAATTTTAGGTTCCCTTTGCATGAAAAGGCCATAAGTTTGGAATATCTGAGATATTCCAGAAGTTTATAGCAATATAGAACCAGAATGTGTTAAATATTATAAAATGATCCCAGAAAAATCTGAAATGTGTTGTCACAGAAGCAACAAATACAGCCAGTGATTTGTATAACAACCATTTACTGAACACTTTTTCCTAGGCAGGATATTGTATTAACATACAATTAAAAATCACTGCTGCATCATTTTTTCCTTCCTCCAGGAAAAAGTAAAATTCCTTTCTTCTACTCTTAGTGAAAACCTCTACCCAAATTCACAAAGGGTGATGATTTCAATAAGGACAATTATAACAAATAACAAGAATTTGCTATGTGCCAATTATAATTCTAGTCATGTATTTATTCACACTTCAAGCACGGTTTGTTGTAGGAAACTCCAGTATCTTTAACTTACCAATTAAATTGAAAATAGCTTTGAGTTCCATACACTAAAGTGGCAGAACTAGGATCTGAACCCAGATAGTCCAACTACAGAGCCTCTATTCTTAATCATTTCACTATGCCTTTTTCATAAAATGATTTATTCTCTAGAAAAAGTGAATGACAATCCCTCATTTCTAATTAAAAAAGGAAGAAAGAAAAGGCTCACATATTGGTTTTTAAATTACTGGGCTGCAAATATTTTCTTTCCAGGTATCCAAATCTATATTAAGGCCTATCTTCATTAAAAATGACTTATAATATTTAGCTACTCTCAAACACCTCCCTTGCTTTCCAAGGGCTAGAGCTAAATTGATTCAGATACATGATGCTGTGGTATTAGGATATAATCCAAAGTATGTATTTGGTCCTCATTCCCAGGTTTCTGCCCAGAACTCCTAAAACCCTTTTAATTTCCTAAGTGATAAGAGTGATAAAGGTGAAAAGAGCATCTTTTGTTATTCATAACAAGCCCCGTTCATCTACTCCTGAGCTTAGGTTGATGCGATAACATTTGGAAAGCCCGTAAGGATGGGGGCTGGTTGCCAGGGGAAACGAACCACAGGATTAAAGGCCCAGGACTTGCAGCCCTATTCATCAACCTCTGGGGAGGGGAGAGGGGCTGGAGAGTGACATAATCACCAATGGCCAATGATTTAATCAGTGATGACTATACAATAAATCATCTTTTAAAAATTCCAAACAATAAGGTTTGGAGAGCTTCGGGGCTGATGAACACGTGGAGGTGCTGGGAGGGTACTCCGCACAGAGAGGACGTGGACGCTCACTGCCCCATCTCCCATATCTTGCCCTATACATTTCTTCCATTTGGCTGCTCCTAAGTTGTGTTCTTTTTTATAAAAAATCTGGAATCTAGTAAGCAAACTGTTTTCCTGAGTTCTGTGAGCCGTTACAACAAGTTATCCAACCCGAGGAGGGAGTCACGGGGCCCCCATTTATAGCTGGTCTATCAGAAGCACAGGTGACCACCTGGACCTGTGACTGGTGTCTGAGTGGAGTTAGTCCTGTGGGACAGATCCCTGAACCTGGAGGATCTGATACTATTTCCAGGCAGATTGTGTCAGAATTCTGTTAAATTGTAGGATAACCAGTTTGTGTCTGCCCGAGAATTGAATTGAATTGTCGAAGTGTTGAACGTATCATGTGAAAGTAAAGAAGGAAAAACAGTTTGTTTCTCTCTTTGATGGGGACACTTTGTTTGAAATCCCTGTGGCACCATGGCTGGTAAGGCTGTACTAGGTGTGAGTCTTTTTCACCTTTTCCCTTCATAGGAAAAGAAGGCAAAAGAGAGGAGGTGCTATTGGCCTTTGATAAGATTGTCAGGTAGTCTACCTGTAACCCTTATCCCCCAACTCCTAGCAGTCGGTTCCCTGGGACTGTTTTCAAATACCTATTCATAGGGACCTGGAGTCAAATGTGTCCATCTGTTCTTACTCTCTCTTGAACTCTGGAATAACTACATGTAATACATCGCTAATCATTACCTTTCCAGGATAACATATTTTTGTAAGCTACTTACAGCTTTTCAAGAAGTCACCAATGACCTACTAGTAGAAACTTGAGATTCATTCAGAGGGAGCCATTTTTCATAAGAATAACTTTTAGTGGTCCTCTTTTGAAAAAGCCTGGCCTCTTGAAGAGAATTGCCATTTTTGAACCTAGAGGCCCGTTCTGCTGCCCGCATTGCTTACATTTGCATATACTGCAGAACTTATTTCTGGGTTCCATGAAACTGCTGCCTACACAGCCAATCTGCCACTTCTCCTGGCAGAGGCCTCTGTGCACAAGTGCGCACACCGCACACATACAGGGCAGGGCTGGCCACGCTTTTCCACAAATCCAGTTTCCGAAGAATACCGAGATGCTCCAGGTCCCCTCAGAAGAAGGGTTGCTAAAAAGCAACAAGACTCTAGTGAGCAGAGGTCTCTGAGCTGGTGCTGATCTCAGGGAAGACGAATGTGGATGAAAGGTGAGGGGGCTTGTAAGACATGAATGGGGAAATGGAATAACCAGAGTGGAGTACAGGCAAAAGGGGGAGATCTTCCCTCTTCTTTCTCTACCTGGCCTAATGTGAGCAGACGTTATCAGAAGGGATTCTGTTATAACAAAGTCATTTTCTGTGACATGGTTTGTACTAAATGGAACAAGGCTGGTTTTGAGTTTTCAGCGTGCAATTACCAAGAGGGCCTTTTAATAACTTCGGCTATTCAATTGCTAGATCATATATTGCCATTCCCTAGCTTGTTGCAGTAAAGGTGATGATATAGCCTGCATGCCATTGCAGTAGCTTTCTTCATCACTTGTTTACCAGAAGTCAGGGAGACGGCTTTTCAAAAAATGAGCATAGACTTCCAGGCAGCAAAGCTTTCTAATCCCACCTGATGGTCCTCAAGTTATCCAGAGCAGCTTCATGGAGAAGAACGGTAATTAGGTTGATTGAATCCTCATGGCTGCATGGCTTTTCAGCTGCTCTGATGTATTCTTTTGAGTATAAATAAGTTTTCAATGAGTATTACAGAATAGGCAATACCATAGGAAAAGACTGCCAGTAAGCTCTGATTTTAGATGCTGCTCCCAATGTAGCTATTTAGTTCCTTGAATTGTTAGCTCTCTAAAGCCCTGTCTTACCCTCCCTAAATCCATGAGCCTAGATGGTTGGGTGTAATGAAGAAGTCTGGGATCATAGAAAAGCTGTCTGGCTCTTGTGGAAATTAAACCCTGACCTTTGTCTCAGTAGCAGCAGGCTTTAAGTAGTACAGCCCAGGACCATGTCTTGGTTTTGGTGATTTCTTATACGACTAAAGTGTAATAAATAATTTTGAATGATGCCTTCACATTCTGAAACCATAAGCCTCTTAAACGTTGGTCACAAACTTTTTCTGGTTTATCTAAGACATTGTTGGCGCTAGCACTGGAAGTCCTACATCCAGGAATCCCCTTGAACTAGGGCAAACTTAAATGGTTGACCCCCCCTTCCTTAAAAGGTATAATGCAACTTCCCTAGGATTGGATCTATTTCTCTGTTCGTTTTGTGGTCTAGATTTCTTGTTATATCAGTGCTCTCCTATCAGTTATCTCCACTATATGAGCGGCACCAACTGGCACATTTAGCTGAGGGAAGGGGTGGGAGTGAGGCGGGAAGATGGAATGAGGGATGAAGAGAGAAGGAAGATTAATGTCATATTGGAGTCGGACTGCAGGGCTTCTTTTACACTATAAATATTGTATGAAGTGCTGATGTAACCTTTACCGCAGCATGACATGGGATTTGGCTGTTTTTATGGCTCGTGATTAAAGTAAGAAACAAGTCTCTGATTAGATTATTCTTTTCCCCCTACAGACCTCTGTCCTTCATATTTCCAAGAATGCTATTTTATTTATGTTGTCCATCTAACTGAGACACCAAAATATGTAGATCACCACCTAGACAACATAAAGAAGCATTCTTTTTATTCTTGACCTCAGATTATTCATAATCTAAAATGCTGGCTTGGATGAGCATTGCAGGGAAAAGAAAGAGTTGAAATTGGCAGATTTTACCTCCTTTTAAAAAGTCTATTATCTATAAGTGGTGAAACCCACTGATGTTTTGTTGAGGTTGCATAAGAAAATAGATGGGTTTTTAATGGTATTAGTTTGTTGCAATTGCAGATAGCTAAATACAGTCAGCTAAAGAAGCAAATTGAGCTCTAAGGAACCGAATTAAATCATTTGGTTTTCTCCTTCTGGTCTATCCTATTCAGTAATTTAATTATTTGTGAAACTTTTAAACTCAATTGACTCATTGAATTTGTTCAAGTTGGATGGTGTTTGGTGTTACACTCATTATATATTTTTTGGTCCTGGTCCAGCAATTAGCAACTCAGCTTTATTCAATCATACAGAGCCAACTATATTTGAAATGCCTGTGTTCAGCGTTTAATGTCTTCAAGTGATATCAATTTTTTAAATTCAGAACATTAATCTGCTTATTATGTGGAAGTGCAATAGAACTATCCAATTGAAATTGAGGGGGCTTTTCTTCTTTTTGTAACCCTTTATATGAATTTATTGGATGGAATTTTAAAAATTCAACTGTGATGATTAAGGCTAAAAATTAAAATGATCCAATATAAATAACATCAGAGGGTGAACCCTCATAAATCAGCAAGTCTGATGTTAAAAATAGTTCCAAAATATTATTCTAGCTGTTAGATGCCATCTACTGGTTGTAATTACTATATGATACAACCGGCCGTGGTTTTAATGCAAAGGGAGAATACCCAAGACATCTATAGTTAAAATTCAAATCGTGTTTTATGGCACTCATATTTTGTGCAAATCAATCACTGAATAAGCTAAGCTACATTTTGAAATTCAGACTGCATTTAAGAAAAAAGCTACTGTGAACCAGAATGCCTTACTTAGATTTTACTTGTATTTGTAAAATTTGGTCTTCCAAGAATTTCTGCATGGTGGGCCAATATGATTTCTGGTGATTCTACAATCTAGTTTTTTTTTTTTTTTTTCCAGATGTAGTATAGTATATAGGGATCTGGAGATCGTTCTTCGTCATTGTACCTGAATGCATTTTGCAAAAGCATTCAGATGCCAGCTGTTCTCCATGTAGGATGTGGAAGTGTGACAGATACAGTGGTTCTTGTGCTGTTGATTAATACACACAGGCTCTATCCACATTTCTGTATTTAAGAATGATGAGTACTGATGTCCATTATAAAGAAAATTAAGTATGTAAACCAATCTCATGCCCCTTCCCATATTTGTATATGGAGACTGTGCTTATGCTCTAGGAAGGAATAATTAGGTACATTACAGATAAAGAAGTTAACAATTCCCTGGATATCTTAAATTAGAGGAAAGCACACAGATAGCAAAGTCTGCTAATGAACAGGTGCTGGCAATTTGGAACCTGTAAATCAAATCCAACTGGCTGCCTGTTTTTGTGAATAAAGTTTTATTAAAACACAGCCATGCCCGTGTGTTTGCGTATTGTTTAAGGCTACTTGCAACAGCAGAGCTGAGTCATGGAGACAGACACCATATGGCCTGCAAAATCTAATATATTTACTATCTGGCCCTTTGCAGTAAGTTTGCCGACTCCTATTCTAGAAACTTAGATTCTTTATTAAGGCTATCATTTAGTGGAAATTCTAAATCAGCATCTTTGCTTCCATCAACCTCAATTTTGCAGCAGCCATGGCTTGTCCCATGAGAGATGATTCTACCACAAGAACAGGACAACAGGGATGGCTCCTCTTTGAAGTTTTTACAGCAGCCTCCTCTCTGGATCAGCCAGCCAAGTCCTGCTCCCGGATCCAGGGAGAGACCATGGGTGCCCTCTAGGGCATGGTACAAAGGGAGGATGTGTTCCAGTAGAGAATAGAATAGGCCTTTTCTTTCACCTTTTGGTTTCCAGGTGCTGACATACATGTAGGAATCTTGGTAGTAAAATCGAGTTTAATGGTTATTGAAATAGAACTACCAGAGAGGTTGTAGAAGCACATGTTTTGTACAAGTTGGTTAATTGTCAGCAGCTTTGAATCGTGTAACTGCTTACAAAAAATTTCACATGGTCCAGGAATGAGAGGAAACAAATGTATGAAAAGCAAATTCCCAGATACTTATATGTAAAATAAAAAGCAAACTAACAATAGTTTAGAAATTTTATACTTTCATATACTGCTGTTATGTAGAAAAGAGATTCAGGAAACCCCTAAAGCTGATTGTTCAAATGTCATATTTATTGATATACCCGAGGCCCTTCTTTTTGTTAAAATTACCTACATTGATGATAACAATGGAAGAAGTAGGATTTGCATAATATCTTTCTAGGTATTTGTGAAGACATCATCTCTTTTGCTCAAAAATGCTCTATGGTAAAGAGAGGGAAAACTATTATCTATCTCTAACTTCAATGAAAAAAAACAAGGATTCAGAACAGAAAGTATCAAAACTGAACTGTGGGTTTGGATAATTATATTCTGGCTGTGATGTTGGGGTAAATTATCTCTTGGGGTAAAAGAAAAATCTCTAAGCTTCAAATTCCATCAGCTGTTAAGTAAGAAAATATCCACCCCACGGAGTTACCATGGGGACTGGGGTTGTCCCTTGCCTGGCGTCGGAGAATTTGACTGGTACACAGTTCCTTACAATGATTTCAACTTTTCCTAACTAAGAAGAGTGACTCCCTGTGCCTATACACAATGTGGTTTTACACTGAACACCTGCTTTCCTTCTGGGAGTCTGAACTGGGTATATGTTAGGCAGAGGGTGCTTACGTGACCAGTTCCCCGTAAAAACCTTGGGCTTTTCTAACGAGAACCTTGGCTTATCTAATGGGCCTCCCTGGGCAGAATCAGCAGATGCTTGTTGCTGGAGAAAGAAGCATGCTCCTGGGTGGCCCCTCGCAGGAGGGAGAAAGCATAAGGAAGCCTGCATACTGGTTTCTCAGGACTCCACCATGGCTTTTTCTCTTACAGTCTGGCTGTATATCCTTACTATGTTGCTGGAAGGAATCTTAGCCGTGATTCAAACTAAATGATCCCCATGAGTTCTTCTAGGGAAACTCCAAATATTAGGGTAGTCTTAGGGACCCACAACACCCTATATAGTTTCTTTATATTTTAATGCTCACTTGATTAGGCTAGCCCAATAGTTCCCAACCTTGGCTATAATTAGAATTACTTGGGAAATTACACACACACTTTGCTCCAACTGCCTGTACTCAGCCTCAGACCAATTACATCAGGATTTCTGATGTGTAAGACCCAGCAATTGGTATTTTTTAGTTCTGGCATTTATATGTGGTTATTTTTTAACAGTTTCTATGTCTTTGTGGAAATTGTCTCTACAAAGATATTGTCAACCTTTTCCACTAGATTCTTTGGCGCCTTTTTTTCTTTTTCATTTTATTTTGAAATCTTAGACTTACACTAAATTTACAAGAACAGCAGAGAACCTGAATACCTT